GGCGTTGCTCAGAGAGAGGATACCTAACACAGCCACACAGCCTGTTCAGGGAGGGGGATCAGGAGAGGTTTCTTGGAGGAAGTGATGCTGTGGCTAAGTCTTAAAGGATGGTTGAAGGTCAGCCAGACAGAGAAGGGGAAGGAGCGACTTGTGCTAAAAAGCAAGGAGGAGGAGAGAACTCTAGCACAGAGAACCAGATTGTTCAAGATGGGACTGTGGAGTGGGACTTTGGAGTGGGAGGCAAGGGTCATACCATCATGGTGGCCATTTATTGAGCACTTACTGCGTACGTGACCATGCTGGTCATAAGCTCAACAGCCTTCTGAGTTAGGCGCTATTCATTTCCACATTTACAGATGAGAAAACTGAGGTACAGAGGTCAAATCACCTGTTGGAGATCACACGGGTCATGAGGGCCAGGGAACGAACTGGGAAACACTTGAAACTTGCCTCCAGCAGCATGGTAGCCACTTCTAGAACCATCGATGCCGTCCCTCTTAATTGCTCTGTTCTTTCCTGCAGGTGGAAGGACAGTCCAGGGCCCTTGTCATCGCACAGGAACTGCTGTCTTCAGAGAAAGCGTGAGTCCCCAAGCAGCTGCCTGTGGCCTTGAGCTTGTAAACAAAACGTCACCCCTCTTGGGCTTGTACAGGATGGGATTTAATGCAGCCTCAACCCTCTTTCCCTCTGCAGATATGTGGAGATGCTCCAGCACTTACATCTGGTGAGTTCATCATTTTAATTGTCTCAAACTAATTGCCCTTTTACAAGGCTGTGATATAAGAGGCAGGAAAGCAATGAGGAGACAGAGGTGATTTCCATTAGCAGGGGCCTGGCAGCAGGCACGCATCCACCAAAGCTTTTCAGGGACGTCTGCCTTCTGATTAATGCACTTCAGGGGATGGAGAGCACGGTGCTTTCGGTGGGTGTGTGCCTCCCTGCTCCGGAGGGGGTGGGGGGCATGGGCTGGGGTTTCGGGAAGGATGCCTGAGGTTTCCTCAGTTCTCTTGCTGAGAAAGGCAGAAGGAGGGCAGAAGGAGGATTTCAGGCATTCCTGTATGTGTGAGTTTGCATGCATATGTGTGTGTGTGCATGTGTGTGCGAGAGTTTGCATGCATGCATGTGTGAGTTTGCATGCTTGCATGTGTGTGAAAGTTTGCATGCATGTGTATGTGTGTGTGCATGCATGTATGAGAATTTGTGTGCATGCATGTGTGTGTGAGTTTGCATGCATGCGTGTATGTGTGTGTGTGTCTTATTATTAGGACCGTACGTATGGAGAAGGTGTTTGCCTGATGACAGAGCAGCCGAGGGTACCAAGAGGCTTTCTCAGTCACTCCAGCACCAGGGTAATGATGTCTGAGCTGGTGGAGGGCACCCTTTGGACTGTCAGAGGAAAGGAAACCAGGCTCGGGGATAGCCTGAACCCGGGCCTCGCCACCCTCTGCCACTCACAGGCTGCGGGCACAGTTCCCTTTGCAGCCAGTGCTCTCTGTTCAATGATGGTTTTTTGAAATCTTGCTGCATGATGGGAGCTGGGGAATGGAAAGACAGATCAGACAGGGCCCTTCCTGGCCCTTCTGGCCAGTAAAGGGGACAGATTAGGGGCATTACCAACAACGCTGGAAGACCTGGGCAGGCTTCCCTGAGGAGGTGACGTTCGAGGATAAGTCCTAGGGAGGGGTGATGAAGACTTGGGAAGTGAGAGCACTGGTGGACTCCCCACCACGAGCACTCGTGGTGCTCCCTGCCCCGAGCTCTCAAGCCATTTACAGTCTTGCAGTAGTTCTGCATTTGATTCTCCACTACTTTGTATTGTTCACCGTCTCAAAGGATGCCAGCACTGTGAATGTCCACCCTGGACATTTTGTAGATGGAGATACAGAGGCTCAGAGAGAGTGACTTGGCCAGTGGCACAGTGTCTGAGCCACTGACTCCCAGCACACCATTCTCGTGTGTTTGTCATGTGTCCCCAGCTGCCTTTGGAGTTCCTTGAGGGCAGGACCATCTCTGGGTGCCCAGAGCACCCAGCACTGAGCCAGGCCTCTTGCTGAACCCAGCTGAGACCTCTGTCCGCAGTATCGCCCTGGTGTCACATCTGGGTATGAGCAGAGGGCAGCAAGGTCTCCAGAAGGAGCTCCTTGCATGCATATGTGTGTGTGTGTGTGTGTGTGTGTGTGTGTGTGTGTGTGTCTTATTATTAGGACCATATGTATGGAGAAGGTGTTTGCCTGATGACAGAACAGCCGAGGGTACCAAGAAGCTGAGGTGTGTCCTCAGTTTCCCCGGCTGGAAGGTCCCTGGCTCCATCATGCTGTTCTTAGGAGCTCCTACTGGGGACCTTGTTGCCCTCTGCTCATACCCAGATGTGACTCCAGGTTTCCTCAGTTCTCTTGCTGAGAAAGGCAGAAGGAGCTCCAGTCCCTCATTTTTGCCCTTGAGAATGAGAGCTTTGTGTGCATTATTAAGCCCCAAAGTCCTCAGTCCTTAGGTGTGAAATGTACCAGCACCCCCCCCCACCATCCCCTTATTCCTCAAAAATCTATTTAGCAAAGGCAGGAAGAATCATTCTCCATTTGTCTTTTCTGTCACGTGTTTCTGGGCTGGCAGCGTGACCGAGAGACTGAGCTTTTTTGTTTTATGGCTTTGTTAAGAGGGTTTTAACCGGCAGACTTTCATCTGTGTTTGCACTGCTTCCTGCCAGTTGGAAGACATTGGAGCCACTGGGAACCCATGATAATATCCTAAGGCCTGGGGGAGAAAAGAGAAAGAACCCATGAATGTCACAGCTCATGAGCTCATTGCAGGCAATTGTGGTCTGGAGCTGTGTTTAGCACGTTAGTGCTTAGAGGACAGAAGTGGCAGAATCCTCAGTGGAACTCTGAAGCCTAGCGAGGAACCCTAGTCTTACAGGTGATCCATAGACATTAGGGCATTGTCCACCACTCCTCACCTTTGGACCCACTTCTGGTTGCTAAGTTTGGCACATCCTCTCAGAATTTCCCCCGTAGAAATCTGATGCTAATGGGATCCCAAGGCTGCACGACAGTGAGGAGGGACTGACTGTGTGTCCTCAGTTTCCCTGGCTGGAAGGTCCCTGGCTCCATCATGCTGTTCTTAGGGAAAAGGGATGTGGCCTTCTGTGTTTGGATTCATCGCTCTGCTTGTCAAATGTGCTTACTTGGATTCCTAGGAATTCTGGTCATCCTAGTTGGCAAGGTCCTTTGTCTGTATAGCCTATTAACTAAGAATGGAGTTTACTTTTTTAAATATTTGTGAAGAAAAGCAAAGAAGAATATGCCACTGAGACCGTATGTGGTCTGCAAAGCCTAAAACATTGATTATCTGACCTCTCACAGAAAAAGTTTGCTGACTTTTGGTTGAAAGGCTCCTTTCCATCCTTCCAGGAGCCCAGTTGTGAAAGCATTCCTCACTGGCCCATTTGTCATTCTGTCACCCACCCATCCAGCCAGCCCTGCACCTACTCATCTGCCCTTTCATTTATCCATGCACCTAGTGACATATCCATGCACCCCCTGCCCTCCCCAGTTAATCTCCTACTCAGATGCACACCCACCCCGCCACTCAGTCATCCATCTATTCATCATCCACTCACCAGCCACCACCCAATTCTCTAACCATCCATCCGTCCGTCCGTCCATCCGTCCATCCATCTATCCATCTGCCTATCCATACATCTGTCTGAACTACCCATTCATATTCTGGAAAGATGGCGGGATGTTTCCAAGATTGTAGGCGCTGAAACGGGCCATGGAACCCCAAAGATGAACCAGGGCCGGAACCTTCCCTTGAGTAGGTTTCTATTTTGCAAGAAGAGAGGGTGGAGGTGGGGAGGAGAAAAGGATATGTGAGCAGACAATTATGCTCTTCTGCGTGAGTGTCATTTGCTCAACTATGGTTTTGAGTAAAATCTGTAGGGCCATGGGCGAGTGCGAGTCGTATTCACTCTGTGGTATCTGGGAAGGTTTGCAGAAGAGGTACCATGGAGATGGACTTTGGGGGAGTTCCCTAGGCCAGGGGAATGAAGGGGAGGGGCACACAGGTGGGGTAGTCCATGTGGGCAAACACTCACAGGCCTGAAGGTAGGTGATATCTTTGGAGAATGGTGCATCACTGCACATGATTGGAACACAGATTATTTTGGCAAAGCAGGTCAGAGGCAGAATCAGGAGCCAAGCAGTAGGTCCAAAAACAAGGATAGGAGCAGACTGAGAAGTACCTCAAATGCCAGGTAAGGAAGCTTCTGCTTCTCCTTGTATGCGGTGAGAAAGTGAGTAGAGATTTTTTTTTTTTTTTGAGTTGGAGTCTCACTCGG